TTACTCGTTTTGTCATCTGTGATCAACATAGATCACAGGTTAAATTCAGTTCTGTAAATACTTTGGCAATTTGCAGGAAATACTCCCAATTCCCATGGACAACCGAAATGTCTAGTACAAATCTGTTAGAATTCATCAATGCCCACCATGTGTTTGATGTAATTACTGAACCAGGAGTACAACAAATTATCTCTATTAATGTTATTATTTGTGTGCTATAATGTTATTGGAATTTGATTTTATGTTTGTTCACAGGTTTTCGTTACAATAATGATTCAGTGGTTTTGGTTAAAATTATGGGGGTTCTACCATTTTCAATCAGAACCGAAGCCACATAAACATTTATGTTTTTTTTTCTTCGACCGTATGGAAACCGAACACAGGAGATTCATTTGATGTTGATGGTTCTGAATTGGTTTTTTTTTCATTCATGATTCATAAAAAATGTGGTGATTTAGGGAGCGCCCTTAAAGTGTTTGATGAAATGCCAAAGAGAAATATAACAATCTCACATTCTATACAGGGTTAGTGATGGAATCACCGATTAATGAGGAGATGCTGGTAAGTTTACATGAAGTTTATTGATCTTTGATTAAGTTTTTTGAGTTGGGTTTTTGTAATTTTATATTTTTTTCAGAAATTCAGAGACACCATTCTTTGATGGCAGAGAACTTGTAGCTGGAAGTATTGATGATTCAATCTATGTTTATGATGTTGAAGCAAACATCTATCCTGATCATAGATTTGATGTTGAAGCAAACTGACTTTTCCTTATGTTTATGATGCTGAAGCAAACAGACATATGAGCTGATCATAGCTTTGACCTTGTTTACCTTTTTATAATATTTCCATTCTGAAAGAATGGTTTATTATATAAGAGTATTATTGCTTTATTATGATAGAATTTGTAGTTAATTAATTATATGTTTAATATGCAGTTGTTACAAGTATATCACTACAAAGTATTTGACAATGAATTTGTGATAGAAATGGCTTGAAGAATGGCTTGAAGACCTGATGGGAAAGGCTCCTTGTATAAAATCAATCTCATGCAATACAATTCTGACAGAATGTCAATGTCACAAAATGTCAGTCTCATGGAATACTAGCATATTTTGAATTGGCTTATTTGAATTGGCTTAGAGGTCAAACATACACAAGACATCTAGAATGTTGTTATGTTTTAAGAATTATACTTGGTATTCTTTCAGAATGTTTTTTATAATTCAATGAATCACAATGGTACAATGTAATTATTTGGTATATTATTAGTTCAAGAATCGATTTTGTGTATTCTTTCAGAATATATTTACTAGTTTATGGTTGACATTCTGTCATTCTGACAGAATAAAATCGAAATATGTTTACTACTTTATGGGTTAAAATTCTATCATTCTGACAGAATAAAAATCGGATTTTTAATTTTAAATTAATTTAAAATATTTAGATTTTTAAAAATAAAGGAATTAATTATTCCTAAAAATCCGAAAATTTCCTTTTTTAATATATGTTAATTAACTAGAATGCCCTTATGCTCAAATTTATGTGATTATATGGTACATGTTATCCTATTCTACTATCATAGACCCTCAGATCATGACCTTTGATTATATTCCATCCAATGGTCCAGATCTGTGCATTCTGGCACACAATAGTTACTAAAAACAAAATAACATAACCCTATATATATATATATATATATATATATATATATATATATATATATATATATATATATATATATATATGGGAAAAGTGAATATACCCTTAAGGGTATATAAGCTTAGGTATCCAAACTCACCATACTACATTGTTTTGTATAATATATAGACATTGTAATTGTCCAATGTTCTTATAATTCAACTTCTAACTTGAATTACTTTAAAGATTTTTATAAATTTGAGAAGTTCGAATTTATAAAAAAAAATAAGAAAAATATTGAATTATAAAAATTAAAATGTTTTTTTTTTCTTTTTTCAATTTAAACAAATAATTTAGAAGACATATAAAGATTCTGAAGAAGAAGACATCATTAGCCTTAATAAGGGTAACCGGTCATGGATTTACTGTTTCTAAACTGTAAAAATATATAAAGATTATGAAGAAGAAGACAAAATAATAATAATAATAATAACAAATTCTTTATGAGACCCTTATAGTTGTAACAAATAACAAATAGTATGCTATCCTCGGGGATCCAAAATCTTTTCAAGTTGCACCAATGGTCCACAAGGGTTTTTTTTTTTTTTTTTTTTTTTTTTTTTTTTTTTTTTTTTACGAATATAGTAACGTCAAACATAATATATATATATATATATATATATATATATATATATATATATATATATATATATATATATATATATATATATATATAGTCACGTTAAACATAAAAAAAATATGAAAAATTAAATATCCTACTTGTTCTTTCTTATCTTTCATATTTCTATAAAAGATGATAAATGGAATCCACTAATTCTGAATCTTAATCTCCTTTTTTGATTTTGACATTTATCTTAATCTAGTGAGTAAGAAGATTAGTATGAACAAAAAGTATGAGGATATTTGATTTGTCAAAGAGTATTATAGGCTTTTAGTTTGTGATTTTCTTTTTTTCATTTTTATGTTTATTAAAGAGTAAACTTCAAAATTTGTCAATAATGTTTGCAAAAAGCTAAAGTGGAGATAAAAATCTCTCTCTCTCTCTCTCTGTATATATATATATATATATATATATATATATATGGATTAGGGAATATATGGATGTCATGTACCTAAACTTATATATAGAACCCTCCAAATAATGTAGTTTTGATCCATTTATATCCAAACAAATTATGATATCTCTTTTAATATTCTTCTTTAATCACGTGACTTACTAAATCGATCAAATTTATGTTTTTTTTCTTCATTGTGTCTAAGAACTTAAAACATTAAAATTTATGACCATTTAATTAACTCTACTAAATTCTAAATAAAAACTAATAGAATAAAAGATAAAATAACATGTCATAACTCAATCAAGCTTTTTACAAAAAATCATTGGGTATAGTTTTTCAATTGAAAGACAAAACGCTTGAGTTATATTCGTTAAAAAATATTGGTTTTTTTATTTTCTCTATAAACTTCAATAATTATTTGCAATAAAAATATATATAATTGATCTTTTTCATTCCATAATTGAACTTAATATAATGATATTCTATTAAAACAAAGCTAGAAGAAAATGAAATTGGATTTGTTTTGTTTAAAACTACATCGTTTAAAAGGTTCTATACCTAAGCTTAGGTACATAACAGCCACATATTCACTTTTCCCATATATATATATATATATATATATATATATATATATATATATATATATATATATATATATATATATATATATATATATATATATATATATATATATGGGAAAGTGAATATACCCTTAAGGGTATATAAGCTTAGGTACCAAAACTCACCATACTACATTGTTTTGTATCATATATAGATATTGTAATTGTCCAATGTTCTTATAATTCAACTTCTAACTTGAATTATTTTAAAGATTTTTATAAATTTGATATTTATCTTCCTCTTAGATAATTGTCATTTTCAACAATAATATATATAGACTAGTAAGTGTTCGACAAAAAGATGTGATGTAAGAGGAAGATAATAGTAAAAATTTAAAAATATTGAATATAAATCAAGTTAAGGATTGAAGTTTAACAATATTATAATGAATATATCAAACAAAACGACGTATTATTATGAGTTTGGGTACCTAAGTTTGTATACCCTTAAGGGTATATTCACTTTTCCCTATATATATATATATATATATATATATATATATATATATATATATATATATATATATATATATATATATATATATATATATATATATATATATAAATCAATATTCTAAAAAGCTCGCCATGGCACGCCATGACTCCAAGTCTTGCATGTGCCGCCAAGCTTTGCCAAAACGCCGCCTTGACCCATATATGTGTATAAAAATGAATAATAGTAGAAAATACATATAAAAATATGAATTATATACAAAATTGTTGCCTTAAGTCACGCCTTACAAACGACGTGACTCGCCAAGGCTCGAAAAAGCTTGAGGCTTGATATTGCCGCCAAATCACGCCTTACGTTATTTAGAACATTGATATATATATATATATATATATATATATATATATATATATATATATATATATATATATATATATATATATATATATATATATGAAATCTCACCATAAACCAAGACTAAGAACTCATCCCCTCATTTTATGTTGTTTTACGGTGGACTAGATGAACTTCCATTTTTGTGACCCGACAAATTACTCACCCATTGTGGCGTTGCATATGGCAAAAATTGAAGGCGTGTACAAACATTTCAAAACAACGAAGTCCGCCAATTTTCTGCATTATTACCATCCATATCACAAGCCCATTTATGAGTTAGAGTTTCATATGAAAATCGTACAAAACCGCAAGTGGTTACCCGATCTATATGGCTAATTTTGAAAAAAAACCTAATTTTTTGGCTATTTTTGGCTAAATTATTAAGAGATTTGACTATTTTGAAAATTCCTCAACAAATTAAATTTCAAAATGAGACATGCAATACTTTAACAGAGTATTTCAATTTTTACCAAAAATAAATATAAAAGTCCAATCTTATATGAGTCCGAAGCAAAGGAAAGGACTGTCCAAAATGTAAACCAAATGTCAGGTTGAAACAAACATTTAGTCCGAAATGTAAGATTTCAGATCATTTTGTGTGAACATTTAGTCCGAAATGTAAGATTTTAAACACCTCGGTGTTTTTCTGATAGTCCAACGCAGGAGTCCAAAACATATTTGCTTCATAGTTGTTGGTCATTTTTTGTAATTTGATTAAAAGTTGGTGATATGAGGATATGCTTTCAATTCTGATGATCGAATATCCTTATATTAATTATTAAATCAACTTATTAACATATTCAAATCGGTGTTGACAATATTAAATTAAACCCATCATATTCACATGCAACATCTACTCTCAAATTTCACTGGCATATGCCTCCCTGTCAACGTCCATGTGTTAAAAAGGGGAAAAAAGGAGTAAGTAAAGTTCCCATCCATCGTAGTTCAAATGTTCAATCCTTGTTATGCACACCAAACAAAATGCAGCCTAAAAATATACAAATTTAGGAAAAGAGTAAATCAACACCTACACTTAGAGACATTCTAATACAACGCCAGATTGCTATTTGCCAAAAGAAAAAAAAGAAACACTCAAAAGAGTTTGAGATAGTAGTAGTAGTAGTAGTTGTCTTTTTAGTTTTTAACCTCTGGCAGATAAAACGTCCAGACCATTTGAAGAACTCCCTTCGGGTATATAAACTTTTGTGACATTTGTATTAACTTTAACTTGATGGAGATCTGAGATGTAACCATGGTGGTCCCTATCCCTATCCCTATCAGCTACCTGATGAAGATGCAACAACGCCAGCATGCTAACCGCAAATAAAGCCGCGTTCCCAAACAAACCGCCAACATGATCAACTTTCAGGGACTTTTTTGCAAAATTAAAACTAGAAATCACGACATTGACCAGAATGTTTGACTTCTTCTCTATGTTGTTATAGGAACAGCTGTGGTTTTGTACTTGTCCGACAAAAGCCCTTGCTTCTTCTATGACTTTGTAGTTTTTTCCATGATGATCCGCTAATCTTAATGCAAGCACAATCCGGCTTTCTTCTAACCGAGCAATTGCAGCATCCCTCTCTGCCCGTTGTTGTGTTTGCACAGTCTGCATCCAAAAAAGATTTTTACAAAAAGCTTTTTTCCTTGCATATGTATATTTAATTGGGGGTGTAGCAATTAGCATAATGCAGATGATCAGGAAATAACATCTTAACCTTGGCACCAAAAATAATAAGCAATATATTACTATGAATCCTTATCTTTATTACTAGGATTGCACAAGAGTTGGCATACAAGGTTTGATTTCAATTAAACAATTTTGCTCGTGCATTTGTAAGTGTAAAACTGTAAATTTCTTTCATAACAAACAAGTAAGTTGAAACGACTGATTCCATGAACAAATTCGACACCATATCCTTCAGGATGCAGCAGCAACCAAACTGTACATTTGCAATACAAGTATTCATAAATATAAACCATGACTAACAATGAAAATAACAACATAAACAAACCACTAAAACCTGCCGGTTTAAGCCATTCATTAAAATCTCTTAATCAGTAAAATCCCTAATTAAGCTTATTCATGGCTTGTACTTTAGATCAGCATCAGCTCATTCGTCCCCGTAGGTAAACATATAATGGAATCCAACAAATATACCAATTAGGTCAAATTCTAACAAAATTCCTGGTCTCGTGGGTAAAATATCAAGCAATCAAAGAAATTAGGGTTCGCTCCAACAAAGAAATTAGGTCTGCTACAACACAATTCTCGGACAGAGGGCATAACTAGTATTATTCGAAGCAATAATTTTACAGAAACTCACATGAAAGAACTCAAGCTGGTCCTCGAGGTTCTCTAGAGCGGTACGAATAGAATTCAAACTCTTGGCCTCATGAATAGCCGAGTGATCATCTTCCTCGATCGGGAAGTCTTTAACGTAAACGAAACCTCCTTTCACTTCACCATCGGAGACTTTCTTGTTGTTATCTGCAGCACGGTCGAATAGATCGTTGGAACTGCGTAAGGCTTTGACGGAATGAAGAAAATGAGATCTGGAAATGGAGTGAATAGCATCACTAAGCTTATCGTGCAAGTCCCAAATCTTCTCGAGAACGGCTTCCACCTCTTCCATCTCCATCTCCCATTTCATGAGTGGAGGAAACTACAGAAAAGGAAAGGATGGAAGCGATTCGAAGCGGGAATAGGAAGTTTGCGTTAGGGTTAACGTGGTCCCGTGTGTATGTCGTGGAAAAGAGTAGACAGCTCATTGGTACAGCGATGAGACTTGAGGCTGAAAAAAATAATGGAATTATTCATCCCACGGAAGAGCATTTGAATCGAGAATGGACCGGAACTGAAATTGGATAGAACCGTTTGGGCTGGGATCGAGATGATATTTTTGTAGATTTTTTGAATCGGAAACCGGTAGAGCAGACAAAAACCGAACCGTTTGTTGCTATTTTCTTGATGATCGGTTCCAACATTGAAGACAAGGCAAGAACCGGTTGGAACCGGGAACCAGTAGAATCGGCGGTCCGATTCGGTTCTTAATTTCGGTTGACTTCGGTTCCCGGACTGGGTTTGGTTCGAGCCGGTTCCATCCAGGTCGATTCCTTTGCTCATCTCTAATGCATTATAACTGATTTATAACGTGATGTTGTGAATTTACTTAACATCGAAATGTAAAATCGTGTGATATATTAGATCGGTATCAAAAGATTTTATCCAAAATTAACTTATATTCAAAAAAAAATTGCAAGAATGTGGGTGTGAATTGTATATTATAATTTGATATTCATTAAGAACTCCATAGTGGAATCAAATTTAATTTCTTAAGCATGAATCATAAATACCAGTAATGGTGAATTTGGGTAGGAAAGTAGGTCTTACACGTGTGCTTTCTGCAAACGGTTACGTTTGCCATAAACACTAGAAAAGCACCAAACTGCAAACTAAAAACCCAATTAAAATTACATAAATACCCTTGCTTTATCAAAAATTCCATTACCTTATGTGTTAAGAGCATGTTTTCAAATCAAAGCAAACTGATGGCTTGCATTGATGGCACCAACAATTGGATGGAACAAAATGGTACTGATGATGTACTTTCACCTTCGTTCTCTGGAAATTCATTAATTCGTTTAAGTACTATTATTACAACATCTTTGACATATTTTTCAACTGAAAATTTCAATCTACCATGGTGTTAGACTAGAGTTCGATAATACATTAATATCCAAAAAAAGAAAATATAAATCCAAAATCATGTTATCGAGAGCTTGAAATCCTAAATCTAACGGAGTATTATTGTAATGATTTAAGGGTTAGGGATTAAAAGATTTATAATATTGTAATTTTAGAGCTTCAACTTTGAAGAAAAATGAAAATGGTGACCAAAATGTATCATAAGGAGAGAAGTTGTACTGGCATCGAAACCTTGGTGATGTAGTTGAGTCATCAACTGCCATTTTAGATCTAACGACGATGGCGATGAGTTAGTTTCGATCACGCGCTGCCATGCCTTTTGAACTTCCACTATAGCCTTTCTCCTTGCTTCGTCACCGTTCTCAAATGCAAATAATCTCTTGAGCGACTCCTTCATCGTATTCTCCACCACATCATAATCTTCAATGTCATCGGGATTATGATCGTTGCCGATTCTTCCGATTTCTTCATCAACAACAACGCTGCATCCTTTCTCGATGAATGAATTGACCAAATTAAACAAATCCATCATTCAAAAAAAGAAAAAAGAAAATATGTATCAAACTTTAAAAAAATTGAAGGTTAATTGTTCGAAATTAAACTATCTGGAGAAGAATTTCAGATGAGCGTTTGATTGTCGAAATCCATCATCGCCAAGTGGTTGTTGTGGGGTAAACGGAAATCAATCGGTGTAGCTGACAGTTTTTTAGGAAACCGGTGAGATGTAGAGAAAGAGAAGGTGTGGCGGTGGTTCATACGGTAATGGGAGGGAAGTGGAAATCGATGTTCTAGATAGCAAGAAAAGACGATGCGAAAATCTTAAAGACGGAACGAATAGAAAGAACATGGAACGAATGGAAGGGGTTGGAGATGGTAGTGGTGTGCTAATGAGAAAGCGGTGGAGACACTAAAATGTTGTTTGTTTTTTTGCTGTAGATATGCGAAATTACTTCTGTCTGCGCCGCGCAGACCACGCGCATACATAGGTTCTCGCAGTGTGTTTGTTTTTTCGAAGTGGGTAGATCCAAAAACGTCTGCCTGAGGTCTTCACCACACAGACATGGACTAGCATCTTCTAAGATCTGCGAAGTCCTTTTAACCTAAAAAAAACACGCCCTTTTCTTTTCCTTCTCTATTCGGCCCAGCCATTCTCACGTTTCACCCACCATCGACACTCCTGCCTCGCTCCAACATCGTCTTCATCTTTCATCTTCTCCGATCAGCACCGTCGTCCGCCGTCGCCTCCTCTCCGATCGCAGGCAACAGGAAACGCCTCGTCTCCTATAGCATACGAACAACAACGCAACAAACAAGTTTGCTTTCTTTTTTCTTCGTTTTTTTTTTCCGGTTCTAACATCAAATTGATGATTAATGTTGCTTGAAAACTCTCTAATGTACTGAAATATGTGGTTTAATTTTGTTGAAATTGCTTCTTGTTATATAAATTTGTTGTTGGATATTGGAAATCCGAAATATGGTTGAAAATATATTTTCTTGTGTAAAATTCTTATTAAATGTTGCTGGAAATCATATTCCTTGTGTATTTTGCTGGAATTTTCATGAGATTGTTGAAAATCAAGTTTTTTATTGTTAAAAATCAAGTTTTTGTTGTTGAAAATATGAAAATAGTGTTGAGAATCATATTCTTTGTGTATTTTGCTGGAAATTTCATTAGATTGCTGAAAATCAAGTTTTTGTTGCTAAAAATCAAGTTTTTGTTGTTGAAAATATGAAAATAGTGCTGAAAATCATATTCCTTGTATATTTTACTAGTAATTTCATAAGATTGCTGAAAATCAAGTTTTTTTTTGTTGCTGAAAATAAGAAAATATTGTTGAAAATGTGTTCATAATTTCTAAAATTCCATAACATTGCTGAAAAATTCAATTTTGATGTCGAAAGACCCTTTTAAGTTGTTGCTGAAAATTGTGAATGTTGTTTATTCTTGCTGAAAAGTCTATAATCTAGTCACATTTGTTGATTCTTTTTGCTGAAAATGGTTGTTTTTTTCTTAAATTTGATGTTAGATGTTGCTGAAAAATGTTGTGAATTGTTGTTTAATATTGCTGTGAAAATTATTGTTGAAATCAAGTTTTTTTTCTTGATTAAAATATGAAAATTTGTGCTAGGATATGAAATATTGCTATGAATGTTGTGATTTTTGTTGAAAATACTTTTTACTGAAAATACTTTTTACAATACCTTATAAAATCTTATTTGTCTATGAAATATTGGTTATTGTAAACATTTTTTTTATTGTATGACTAATTTAGTTGAATGAATTTTATTTTAAGTATTGTATGATTATTATTATTAAAATTTTGATGTTAAAAAATCATTTGAAGTTTGTAAAATAATTTTATTTAAAATTCAGTTTATTTTAGTAGGTTGCAAACGTTAAAAAACATACAATTTTTTTATTGCAGAATTTAGATGTATGGTCCATATCTTCTGTTGCAGAGACTCAAATAGAGACTTGCAAATTTTGCAAGGTGTAGAATGATTCTATGATATAGAAGATTTAGCCACGACGAAAGTACAAGACCTAGCAATTGGGTTTGTTATATAGGTTTTGACACGTATGAACACAGCCTACATCATTATAATCAAATTTGATTCGGTTTCCCTTTTCTCTTTGTGGCGTCAGAGCGTTTTTCTCAATTCCCTTGCCCCCCAAGCAATTTGGAGACACAAGTTCTTCAATAAAAGCTGCGATCAAAAGGTAATATTTTTCTTCTGGTAATCGTAGTAAACACGATACTTAATTTGGTTAAAGACGAATATATGTATGGATTTCATTTCAGGATTAAGATCCTATTGGTCAAAGTTTTGAATTGAAGGGACATGGTAAAGAAGAAGGAATCGATTCAGTATGAACACGATAATTTGTTTACGGACTCGGATCAATCTCCAGGGAATGGTATACATGAATATGAAGTTGAGTTGATGTCTGAATCTTCAAGGATGACAGAACCCATTAAACCTCCGCCGCAACAGCCTATACCAACGAAGATGAATGAGAAATTAGGGCTTTGCGAAAGAGCGTTATCCGCCGCTGGCGCCGCCTTCCTCTCCGCCATTATTGTTAACCCTCTTGATGTGGCCAAAGTACGTAGTTTCTCTGTTTCCCCCTTTACCTCTGCACCACCTTTACTTTTCTCTTCAATTTTTTTTTTCAAGCCTCTTTTGTATCCTTTTCTGTACGTCTCGCATACAAAACATACACTTTCAATAATATATATATATATATATATATATATATATATATATATATATATATATATATATATTTTTAAATATTCAAGTTGATAAGCAACTGTTTTTGACATACAAACTCAAATTCAGAAAACTGTGTATTACTTATTAATGTTGCTAATTTGTTGTTAACTTAACTTCATATTGGGTGTTGATGACGATGGTAACGATTTTTCATGGTTGTGATTTGACAGACAAGGCTGCAAGCACAGGCTGCTGGTGTGGCATACTTGCATCCAATGACTAATCTTACGAGTCGGATGGCCGTTTTTGGACCAAACATGGTATGTTTGCTTTGTAATATTTGTGCAATAAACAATTATGATGTTGATAATCCTGTAATTGTTTGTTTTAGATGTTTGCGGATCTAAGATGTTCTCCATCGTGTAGTCGTGCTGGAGTACATGGTACAGTGTCCATCTGTCCACCGGATTGCTTTGAGTACAAAGGAACACTTGATGTTTTCTACAAAATTATTCGGCAGGTTGGTCATCTTCTTCCTTTTGTATATATAATCTGTAGTCCAGCAGTTTTCTTCTAATTGTTGATGATTTTAAGATTTGGGAGTGTCTTTTCAGGAGGGATTTGGAAGATTATGGCGAGGCACCAATGCTGGTCTTGCATTGGCTATACCAACTGTAAGGACCCGAACCTGATTTTTTATTTTTCTTCCATTAATGGATGCTTAGTGTAAATGTATTTTTTGTTTGAGCAGGTGGGAATCTATCTGCCTTGCTACGACATCTTCCGGAATTGGTTTGAAGAGTTTGCAGCTGAAAACGCTCCAAGCATGACACCATACGCCCCGTTACTGGCTGGATCATTGTCACGTTCATTGGCTTGCACTACCTGTTATCCTATCGAACTTGCTAGAACCCGTATGCAGGTTGTTATATTTTTATCTTATCATCTAACTCTACTCACATTTTACTAATCTTTGATTTTTGTCACAAACTTAGGCATTTAAAGACTTCAACACTGGTAAAAAAGCTCCGGGATTGTGGAAGATGTTACTGGATGTGAAGACGACAAATGGTAATTTAGACATAAAGTTATTGCTCTTCTTTTTGCACTGAATAGCAATGGGATTTTAACAATTGAGGTTTTGCAGTGCAAAGCTATCGCGCCCTTTGGACAGGTCTTGGGGCACAGCTGGCACGTGATGTGCCTTTTTCTGCAATTTGTTGGTCAACCCTTGAGCCGGTAAGAAGGCGGCTTCTGGGTGTGGTGGGTGAAGAGGCCAATGCCGCCAGCATGCTTGGAGTCAATTTCTCAGCAGGTTTTGTTGCAGGCAGCCTTGCTGCAGCCGCCACCTGTCCGCTTGATGTTGCAAAAACCAGAAGACAGATAGAGGTATGTCTTGTATTATTTCCTTCTGAATAATAATTTTGGGTGGATTGATTCTCATTTCTACTTTTATGTTGTCATCACAGAAGGATCCTGTTAGAGCATTAAGGATGACAACAAGGCAGACTCTAATGGAGGTTTGGAGGTATGTGCACAGTTATATATAACTTATTGCACTTTTGTGAATTATTAATTCTATTTGTTTCGTCAGGGATGGGGGAATGAGGGGACTATTTACAGGGGTGGGCCCACGTGTGGGCCGTGCAGGGCCTTCTGTTGGAATTGTGGTGTCGTTTTATGAAGTTGTCAAGTATGCTCTGCATCATCAACGTTCAACTTCTTGACTAACATCATCTCAAACTGTTCATTCTGTTAGACTTGATCTCCAGCTTCATCATGATGATGATGGTGATGATGATGATGATGGAGGAGAAGAATAATACATTATGTTGGCATGAAGATTAGCAGAGTTTTTGGTAGTCGGTAGTAGTTTTAGATGCTCTTCTCATTGCCTCATGAACACACCACTAATTTCCTTTTTTCTTTTTACTTTTCTCTCTCCACCAACAGAGTCAAGCTGTAGTTAAAATTTTGTATTTCATGCTCTGAACAATTTTGAACAAAATACAATATCTCTATATATATCTTGAGCAAATCACTAATCGTTGCCATTATAAAGTATGCCAGTTTCGTTTATTATTGCATCTATAAGCCGAAAAATGAAGTTGAAGATATAGATCAGTAGTCATTGTAAAATAATGCACAACTATTCTTATAAAGCATGAGAGTCTTTACATTGTAAAATAGTAATAATTACAACATCCTTTTGACAACGTACGTCTGTCCATGCAATATCACCAAAATGTTGCATAATATAATCTCACATTATGCACCAACATCAATGGCTTATTGAGAGTGATATAACTATCTGGGTCTATGTCACGTACATGTCTGGGATCCAGACATTTTCTATTGAGCAATGCAATTATCACAATAATCTTTTTCAAAAATTATTATTAGTTTTTGCTTTTACACTACAAAATATATATTATACATGGCGATGGCGAGCGTAAGTTCCATAATATAGACATAATTAATCATGCTCACAAAATTAAATCTTTCATATTATGAATATCAAAAAGAGAGACTAACGAATCAAATACAACGTAGATCTAAAAACTCTCTACCATCTCATCATTCCCACCCTTCATACCTCCAATTCAAGACGAAATGTCTTTGACCATAAACTTTGCTTTCCAAGAAACACAATTCCATGCACAATACATCTTTCCTGACGAGCTCATGTTTCGTAGGAATAAAAGGATGATGAATGGTGAAAAGAAACTCAAACTCAATGAATGAGGTACGTTAGCGCCAAAGCCACCACCATTAGCACGCAAGCGATCCCTTGATCAATCGTTAATCCTGTTTCATCACCGCATAGATATATAGGCACACACATCAACTGATACAAACAATAATAGATATAAATAATGATAAAGAGACAGACTGACACAGACCATCGACAGTTTGATCATCAAGCTCAGGGAATTGAGCCACGGATTCGGAGGTGAACCTTGGCCTTTGGTTTGGTGCCATTGTATGTGTCCTTAACAACGCTAACGGTAGCTCTGCAAACGTCTCCGTGAGCAGAGTTACGTTTCGGGTGGTTTTGAAGAAGAGAAAAAAGAAAAAGCCCGAAATTAAGATCAAAGTGTGGGTAAAAGAAATCAATAAAGGATATTGATGTATGGTGGTGAGAAGAGCAAGGGGAAGCAACACTTTTATGAGAAATAGTCAACCTAATATTCGTAATATATCCCTACAACTTATCATAATATATGTAAAATGCCTAAAGTTTGATGGTATCCAACACAAGTTTCATGTTTTATCATCCAACATGTTAGAATAAAGGGAAGTTTCCTTGTGAACCACTCATAAGTCTGATTGATAATCGTTTTTCAGTTATGAACCAATGATGATGGTAAAAGATAAAATTTCAAATTTTGATTAATTTAATTAATGAATGAGCAGGTTTAAGTTTACATTTTATCAAAATTTTATTAAATTTAACATCCTTAATTTATTTCTAGAACAACATAGTTTTATTTTATCTCAAATTGGTAATTTTCTCAAACCCGTGACCTATGTTAAAGAAAAATATATTTTTTCTGTAAATGATTCAAAATAAAAATACGTGATAATCTTTTATAAAAACTGTTAGACCTAAGGTTAGTGACGGAGCAATGATCAAAGTAAATAAGTAGTACAAAAAAAAAAAAACAAATTCCACATAATATACAATAAGAAAAAAAAATTGCAATTTCATTAGACATAACAAAGTGATAAAATAAACTATAAAATATATATTATATATTAAAGTTCACGTCTTCGCTTTTTTATTTCCAAAAGTTAGTTTCGTTTGCTTATGAAAGACTTCACTAATATATTTGTTTTTTCTCAATAACCAATCACATTTTTCTTGTGTCTTTTGATGATAACTTTGAATATTACCTAAAGGAAGATCATTCAAATCAAAAGTTTGTGGCACTTGTGGTCGTTGGTTAGGTTCATCATGTTGTGGTCCTTGTGGAACTTCTGGTATTTGAGTAGGTTCATTAGGTTTTCGTTCTTGTGGAGCTTGTGGTTTTTAGGTAGGTTTATTAGGTTGTGGAACTTGTGAACTTTCATTAATTCCTCCACCATTGTCATCTAATTGTCTTTTGACAAATTTATTAATAGAACCTACACTCAAAATATTTCAACTATAAACTTGATTTCAAGTTTCAACAACAAATAATCACTAACTACTAACGTTAAGTCCCTAATTAAACAAACATAATTGCTAATTTCTATTTTTGAAGTTTCAACACAATACCAATTGCCAAATAATGAAATTTTAAATTAATCTAACAATAAACAATAGGAATAGGATTGGGTTAACTTACTTGTTTTGTTGTGCAATGTGACCTCAAACTCGTCTATCGGAGATGGTTGTCGGACATCGCCGACAAGTAGCAACAACGAATGACGGAAATTGAAGCAACAATGACTCAATGGGCAACAACAGAAGAAGTCCTTGATCGATCGCCCTTATGTGTCTATTTCACGTTCGTCTTTTTATCAAATGGGTACAAGATTTGGATTATGTTATCTCTTATTTCATTAAATGATTGAGCTTAAATAAAAAGAAAACAAAATTCTATATTTCTACATCATAAAAAGTAATTAGTTCAGTTTTAAACAATAAATATATATATATATCAAAGCAAATTATGACTTATCTATATATTTTAGTTATGAGTTATTTAACATATTTTAGTTATGGGTTAATGTCCATCACGTGATACAATATTTCTTGATTTAGTTAAAAATGTCTTTTATCTTCTTCTTCTTATTATTATTATTATTATTATTATTATTATTATTATTATTATTATTATTATTATTATTATTTTTTGTATTTGTGTTCAAAGGGACATAAACTCAAATATTATTTGGTTGCCATTTTAAGTAATTTTCCTTACTTTAATTTGTAATCTCACACTCTCCTCTCCTCATGTAGAAACTTTCACACTACCTTGGCCCTTGGCTCAATTTCTTTCTTCTTCACACATCGCCGCTGACCGTTGTTGTGGAGTGCAACCTCTTTCGATCATCCTTCATCTTGACCCTGTGTAAGTTCCTAGACATTCCTTAAACCCCTTCCTCAATTCCTCTTCCTCTACTCTTATGTGAACTTAGCTTACTATGATTTTGTTTAAGAACTTCTAATCTTCCAGTGACTTTTGTTTTATAACTAAAATTATTTTAATTTAAGTCATTACGCACTACACCACATCCTTGTATCACACTATCATTAACACATATACACTTAGGATTGTAAATGAACTGAACGAATAAGAACGAGGGTTTGTTAATGTTTGTTCGTTTAAGTTAGCTGAACAAATGAACGAAAATGAACAGATAAACGAATGATTTTTCTTATTAATGTCTGTTCGTTTAGCAAATTACATTGTTGATGTTCGTTCCTTCATATTCGTGAACATGCTAAACGAACGAACATACACAAACATAATTGAACATATAATATAGTAATGTAATCAAACACAATTAAGCATATATTAACATAAAAGGAACTTATATGAACGAACATAAACGAACGTTCACGAACATAACTGAACAAATGAGACCATTGTTCATGTTCGTTCATTTAAATAAACTAATGAGAATTTGTATTCATGTTCGTTTATTTATTGAAAAACGAACATAAATGAACTTTCTGCCGAATGCTTCACGAACAGTTCGCAGAATGTCGAGTTCGTTTACTGCTTTTTCTTGATAGTTCTTAGAAAAAAAACATATTAAAAGGATTTTGTCTAGCTAGTGTCATATGTTTTTACTGCCATTAAATACCCTATTTTTTTAAAGCCATCTTATTTTTTTTAACACTTAATCTTAGCATTTACTAGGGAATTGTAACACTCCTAATACTTTATTTTAAAAAAAAAATCTTTTCCTAATTTAATTTAATTATTTTATTTTAATATACAAACATTTTTTATATACAAGTATTAAACAGATTTTATTAAATGCCCCATTTTTCTTTATCAATGTATCACTAGCAAAAGGGTATGAGTTCAAGAAAGGAAACAGTTTGGGGTCTATGAAGATCAAATACCCCCCTTTGACTTTTAATTAAATCCTCTCCAGATTCGTGAAATCGACCCACCTCATTCTCCCCTTTCCCTATCTTCCCAAGTCTTCTATGAATTTTTTGCGTTTTCGTTCATAAATGGGGTTTCCTATTCATGAATCGACAAGTTTATTGAAGTGGGTGTGTGAAGAGCATACGATCATCTTCAGTTAGCTTTTAAATTTTTAGGGTTTGATTTGATTTTACCAGGATTGAAAATAAAAGGTTGTCTCTCTTATCGACATCGAGAGATTTTGGATCATGGATCTTGTTCTTGGGGTTTGGAACAGCTTTGCTTTTCGTCTTCCTGTCCGAAATTCCTGGTAATTTCTTCATCGTTTATCTTTTTGCAATCCAGTCCAACTATTTCCAACCAATCACAGTGCTTTGCTGTTTCTCTCTATTCTCGCCAAAACTTCAACGACTGCCCGGTAGCAAACCTCCTAGCGAGTGTTAGGGGGCGGTGTTTCAAGTTGGTTAGCGAGCGTAGCGAGGCCGGTGGCGACCTCCACTCCGCTTAGCCTAACTTCTAATCGTTTGTTTCGAGTACCCCCACACGATCTCTTGCTAAGGTAATCTGAATCCAGTTTGCCTTTCTTCTTATCTGCTCTTATGGTTTTCTAGGTTTAGCTTCATTTGGGAAAAAATGTCTTGCTAAGGTGCTCCAACTCTTGGATAAAAGGCCTACCATTTACGAACGTAACTTCTCTCTCATATACAGTAGGGTATAATAACTTTAAAGATCAGGATCTTAATCCTGGGACGTTTGTAGTGTTTTTACGTAATCTTTATTTAGTCAAGTCAGCAATTAACGTTTTAAGAAACCTTAGGGAATGGCTGTTAAGTGGCAAATTAGCTAGTTATGACGAGGGATATTACAAAACACAAAACATAAGATAAATAAATGAAGTTCTCCGGGATCGTCGGCAACCACCGGTATCTCCATCGCCTCCAGAAGTGTTTAATTGCAGCTGGAAACAGGACACTTGTAAATGATATAGGGTTCAAGCACAAGTTCTCAGGATTGATATCAGAAGAAGAGTCAGAACTGAAAGAATTCAACGATTATCTGGATAATCTGAAGAACCATGAAAAATCTGGTGTTCCAAAAGGGGCTGGAACCGACTCCGATGATGGTTTTGATCTGGGAAGGATGAAACGGCTAATGCAATCGCTTGGAAACCCTCAATCTAAATTCAAGGTTTGTGTTCTCTTTTAGCATTGATTCGGGTCCAATATTCTGAAATTTGAGGTTATCATCATTATACAGGCTGTTCACATTGCTGGGACCAAAGGAAAAGGTTCAACTGCTGCATTTCTGTCCAATATTTTACGCGTTCAAGGCTATTCTGTAGGTTGCTACACCAGGTATTACTTTTTGTTAATCACATTAGTTTAGTACAATACAAATGATCTTAAGCCACATGACATGATCACAGTCCACATATCAAGACCATTAGGGAACGCATAACATTAGGAAGACTGGGTGATCCGGTATCAGCCAAGACAGTAAATTCTTTGTTTCAAAGGATAAAACTTGTTCTTGATCAGGCTGTGCAGCTTGAAGAGGGGCACCTTAGTCATTTTGAGGTACGCCTACGACAAATTAAACACAAATTTGCTTATGGGGAAAAAGATTGCTAGTTTGAATTGAATGCTTAACTCATGATATAGGTTCTCACTGCTGTGGCCTTCAATCTATTTGCTGAAGAGAATGTTGACATTGCAGTTATTGAGGTCCATTTCATCTCTAGACTAAAGTAGATTTCACCAGAAAATGGCACATTTGTAAATACTCAGACTAATATTAGCTTTGCCCTTTTAACGAAGGCCGGATTAGGTGGTGCACGTGATGCCACTAATATAATCTCAAGTTCGGATCTTGCAGTCTCCATTATCACAACAATTGGTGAAGAACATCTGGCTGCATTAGGGGGCTCTTTGGAAACTATCACAGTTGCAAAATCAGGCATAATTAAACATGGACGCCCAGTTAGGTGGTTTCTAAGTGGGCCATATCTTCTTCATCTGGTGATAAGCATAAAAGTTTTCTATAAATTTTTTTCAGGTGGTTCTAGGCGGGCCCTACCTTCCACACATCGAGCTCATTCTTCGCAATAAAGCATCTTCATGTTGTTCTCCAGTAATCTCCGCATCTGATCCTGGAAACACAAGTGTGATTAAAGGCATTACCAATGTCTCTGGTATTCCTTTCCAAGTATCTGATATCATACTTCACATTAACAGAGACTTACAACTGGTATGTAATGTGAATGCGCTTTTCAGTTATGAATGTATACATACAACACTTCATTATCCAGATAGACATCATTATGTATTCAACCACTTTATCCATAGAAAAAAAAAAGAAACAATTTCTTAGTCTCCTTTATTAATTCAGTAGTGAAATGTGAGAATAATATTTTTGTTGTGAACTTATGTAGTCTTTTGAGGTGTATGATGTAAAATTGCGTTTGCTGGGATGGCATCAACTTCAAAATGCTGCAACTGCCACGTGTGCAGCACTCTGTCTTCGTGATCAAGGTGCTGCCTGGGTTTGTTTGAAAGAGTTGTTATAAATAAATAAATAACTAAATATTTTAATTTTGTAATTTGTGGAATTCGATTTCCAGGATGGAGAATATCAGATGGATCCATTCGTAGTGGTCTAGAAATTACACACTTACTGGGAAGAAGCCAGTTTTTGACATCAGAAGAAACAGAGGCGTTAGGACTACCTGGTGCTACCATACTACTGGATGGAGGTTCTCAACTTCAAATGTGAATGTTTTTTTTTTTTTTCTATGAATTCAATTGAAAAGGAAAAGAAAGTTTGATTAGTTAATTAATTCCAGCACATACCAAGGAATCTGCCAAGGCTTTGGCTGACATGATTCAGATGACATGTCCGGAAGCAGCTTTGGTTTTTGTGGTTGCTATGGCAAGCGACAAAGACCATCAAGCATTCGCAACAGAATTACTTGCAGGTGCTTCTTTCATACTTTGACCAACAAACAAATATTATTATTATTATTATTTTTTCACAAATATGAAACTTGTAAGCAATATATGTAACATGATGGAAGTATTGAATGTGATAAATATCGAAATTACCCCTCAGAAATAAACTTGTAAGTAAGATTGATACTCTTATGATGTTGTTGTTGCAGTGAGGCGACCGGTTGCGGTATTGTTGACGGAAGTTAGCATTGCTGGAGAGCGGTACAGGAGTGCTTCTTTGTCCTTGTTAAGAGATGCTTGGATGGAGGCGTGTGATGATTTGGGTATTAAAATTTATGAAGAAGAAGATAGGCTGAAAAAACATGATGATGGTAATGGTATGTTACTGTTGAATGGTGGTTCGTTGATGGAGTCGATGAGGGTTGGAGATGAGATCATTATTCGATCGAGAAGCGGGGATAGAGCAGCAGCAGCAGCAGGTGTTTTAGTGGTTACGGGATCCCTGCATATTGTTTCTTCGGTTTTATGCTCCCTCTGAACTCGGTTTCTTGGAGGATCTTTCAACTTGTTTTTTTGTGTATTTAAAGATCTATCAATGTTCCAAATATCAAATGTTCTTCAGGGACAGTTGGAATTCAGCTTCAAAATGGTTCAATGGAGTTTTGTTTGACAGTTCGAATTTGTTAAGATTAATTACAGATTTATATTTAGGAAATTTTCAGAATACTCCTTATATTATTATTTCATTAACAACAAATGTTCAGAAAAGTCTTGTATTGTTGCTTCATTAACTGTGACCTTACTTTATTTGAGACGTCCTAAATTTAAAACCAAAAATTTCATTTTTATATTAACAAAACCATCAACCAAACATGTTAATAAAAACAATAAAGGAAAATCAGAGTATATCAATCAATCATCCAAAATACATCAGAGTTAAATGAGATGAAAATCATGGTGTGTGCAGTCCGATTATCCCGAGTTATTCCTCTTCGATCCGGAAGCATCTGAAACATAATCTGAAAACCATAAGCATGAAGCTTAGTGAGTTCTCCAAAATACCGCATAACATACATATCTGACAGCTTAAGGTTGTGTCAGGTCTATTTCACTACCAAGTCTATTTCACATCCGAATCTATTTCAACTCATGTGTCGGTCCAAGACTGTACCAGATCTATTTCACCACCGATTCTATTGCAACTCATATGTCAACACAAGATTGTACCGAGTCTATTTCACCCCACAAACATATAACAAACATGCACACATGCATACATACATACAACAAGAGTCACAAAGACTACAAGCATATATAATCCTAATGTCCTACAGTGAGCAAACTCACATCAGTCTGTTGTCAGTCAAACGGATACTTGGGTTGTTGAACCGGGAAATCCTCGTGTTAACCAATCAAATAAAACCCCAATTAATAACTAGGCCATAAACCTTATCCGAGAATCTAATTCATTAGTCCCAATACCTTAAGTAAAAAACAATTGTACCTTTACCTCACTTGGCCCAATAACTAAGGCCCAAATCCAATGAAACCAAAACCCAATAGTGACCCAATTCCTAAAGGATACCCGAAAGCCTATCAATGGCCTAAAGTAAAAAAAACACTAGTAGCCCAACAAGGTCCAAAAACCGAACATCGTGTCTCACGTCATGACCAATCATTGGCCACGTCGGGAGATCTACTCGTCCCGATTCCAAAAACTCGTTCCTGACTCAGCCAACTCAACAATGGATGGGTTTCACATCCTCACGTCGCGAGACCTCATGTCTTACGTCGTGAGAACAGTCTGAAGCCAACACCAACGTTTCAACGCTCTTTGTCTATTCAACCTTCAATTTCGACTCTTACAGAAGCTTAAGGGGGCCCTAATGGTCCATAAAAATACTTGCTTTATGGAAATGCATGCATTATGCATGTCCTTACAACATTTTAGGTAAAAAGTAGAAATATGGCATCAAATTCTCATGCAAGCCTCTAATACTTCACCAATTTCCAAATCTGAATGAATTAAGACTCAAAAGACCATTTGAATCCAAAAAATTGCTAACTTTATGGATCTCCTTCACTCTAACTAGCTACACCTTAAAAGAAATAAGACCAAAAGCCTAGATCTAGCCATGAAATGAAATAAAGTTGAATCTTTGTACTTACAAATGGTCCAACAAGAAAAGAGCTGATGATAATGATGCTTCCTTGCAACTTCCACCACAATGATACTTCTTTCTCTTCTTTTCCTCTTCTCCAAAAGATGTCGTCAATTGGTCAACTAACACTCACGACGTGACCATCATATCTCACGTCATGACCCATTAATAAACTAAAAATTTAAGGAAATAAATAACTCAAAAATCGGGATGTTACATTATTATCTCTTTGACATACATTCTTATTTTGCTATAATAAATGCAAATTTGGTCTACATGTTTAGCAAAGTTTTGGAGGTCTAGTCCCTAAACTATTTTTTTTTACATAAAGTGAATTTGGCAATGCTTTCTTGGAGGGTTTAACTCCTCATTTTCACCCATCATCTATTTGGTGTATTAAATTTAAAGAAATGAAGATTTTACTCTTTTTTTTATTATTTATTTATTTATTTATTTTTATCTTTTATCTTTTATTATCTATTTACTTGCCAATTATTAAGAGTGAGCTCCACCTACATTTCACTGCACTTTATTACAAAGCATGTCACATCTCATTTCCTCTTAATATCCTCACACTTCACACTTCAATAGAAGTAGACCTACATATATAATATACCTAACATCCTTAAAATCCGTATGTTTTTTTTTTCTTTGACTTCAACTAGCTTGTACATTCCATAACTCATTTTTTTAATATAATCTCCTATACATCAGAAATGTACATTTCTTTCTCCTTAACTCTATTCATCAACATGCTCTTTAAAAAAAAAGTCTATTCATCAACACTATACTCTCTCTCTCTCTCTCTCTCTCTCTATATATATATATATATATATATATATATATATATATATATATATATATATATATATATATATATATATGTATATGTATATCCTCGTGCGTTACACACGAATATAATTATTTAATTAAAATAATAAAATTTTACAAATTGTGATTTAGTATTTATACATGCAAATACCAATGTCAATAGCAAAATAACACATATAGTTAACCTTTTAGGTTTATTAACTGTAATAAATTTATATAATTTGTTATTTCTACTATTAATTCATGATTTTATAAACCGTTTTATGCTGCGTAAATTGTATATTAAACGTATGTTGATTTATATATATATATATATATATATATATATATATATATATATATATATATACATCAAATAAAAAAGCAGTATGAAAAAATAATATGGAAAAATACTACAACTTTTAACAGCATAAAAACATTACAACATTTAGTATAACATTTACATAAAAAACTTATTAAACACGTATAAATCATTCAAAAAGAATATATATGAATCAACATACATTTGATATATAAAAACATTGTTATAAAAAAATTGCATTGAAATAACCATTGATGCGACAAAACTTATTTTTTCAACTCTTTTCAAATAACCATTGGAATGAAATGAAGGATCCAAGTAAAAAATTGTGATTTGAAATTGAAAGTTATAGTGAGATATGCATGTTTTAAACTTTACACAAAAACCAATTCCGACCCCTAAAAGTGGTTCCGGTTCTTAAACCCGGTTTACCCGAACCCGATGGACCCAAATCCGGATAAAGTCTTTCTTTAAACCGGGAACCGGAACCGATTTTATATATTCTAGTTCCAATCCGATTTTGGTTACAATCCAATTTTAATCTCATTCCTAGTTTCTACAAGTTATAAACTAGTTTTTATTATTAAAAAAAAAAAAGAAAAAAAACTTAGCACAAATCCGGATAAAGTCTTTCTTTAAACTGGGAACCGGAACCGATTTTATATATTCTAGTTGCAATCCGATTTTGGTTACAATCCAATTTTAATCTCATCCCTAGTTTCTACAAGTTATAAACTAGTTTTTATAATTAAAAAATTAAATAATAATAATAATAATAATAATAATAATAATAATAATAATAAAAAAAAAAAAACCTTAGCACACAAAATAAATGAGCTCAAATTCTTAAAATAACGTTACCGGTTTAATTAAACATATTGAAACCTATTTACATTACTTTTCTATAAATGGACAAAAATTGTCTATCGACTTCAAGCATCCAAATTATACGAGGACCAAATTTGTCTATCGACTTCAAGCATCCAAATTATACGACATGTCGTATTCCTTCATGTAGGCTTTATGCTTATAAAGTTTGTGTGGTTAGTGTTTATTGTTCATTTTTTATAGGATATTATAATATATGACTTCTTTTATATATATATATATATATATATATATATATATATATATATATATATATATATATATATATATATATATATATACACACACACACACAAAGAGAGAGAGAGAGAGAGAGAGAAAGAGAGAGTGTGGTAAGTTCTATTAAAAACTTAAAGATTTGCGGGAACTCAAGAACTCTTAATTCGCTCATCATTTTTCAAAACCGAAAACACCTTTAGACTCCTAGACCAACGACTAAGGCATATCCATGGTCCCAAAAAAGATATGACATTTCTTTTCAAAATGTGCATGTATGCACAATTGGCAGTTATATGGTATGCGTACACATAATTACCTATAGTAATATTGACAATCATTGGTTATATATATGGACTGCAGACGTACAATTATCCGTAGTAATATTGACAATCAACAGTTATATATAATTACCTATAGTAATATTGACAATCATTGGTTATATATATGGACTGCAGACGTACAATTATCCGTAGTAATATTGACAATCAACAGTTATATGGACTGCGTGTCCAGTCCATATAACTGTTGATTATCAATATTACTATGGATAATCATGCGTCCCACAATTCATATGACTGTTGATCAGGCCCGGTCCAATGTTTTTTACTATCCGGGGCGAGATAAAAAAATTATGCCTTTATATGTGTACGGTACAATAACAAAAACAGTTATATAAAATATATAATAAAAAAATGCAGTAATTTTTACAATCAAACAAATAATACAAACAAAACATACAAAAATCACCTAAAACGATGTCTTCGTGCATTTTTTGAAGCAAAAACATCTCTTATTTTACAATAATCAATATTTTGTAAAAAAATTCACTTCCAATACTTAAAATTGCTAATACATTCAATCTTTCTTGACTAATGGTACTTCGGAGATACGATTTCAAAAGTTTCACTTTTGAAAAACTTCTTTCCGCAGAAGCAACCGTAACCGGTACCGTCAACAATATCATATAAGCAACCAACACATTAGGGAACATATCTATTTTTCTTGCATACTCCATTATTTGAATAGATGTCCAAGGATTTTCACTTTTGTAAGCTTCACCTGGCAACATTTTCTGCAAAATTTGTAGTTCAATGAATAAACCATCTCCATCAATATCATAATCTTCACCATTTTTCAAATTGGACTCAAGATTTAAACAATATTTTTTTTAATTCATCATCATCTAAAGAAACTAATTTTGAACCATCAAACAAAAAAGATTTAAACAATATATTTTTTTAATTCATCATCATCTAAAGAAACTAATTTTGAACCATCAAACGAAAAAACTACATATAGATTCAAAATATTACATTTGTTCAAATCTACTTTTAAATTGAACAAGAGTCAATAATCTTTTTTAAATGCTTCTTGAAAAGATTGATGTTCTCTTACGGTA